GCACACCTGCACAGAATGCATGAGTATCTGCACATAGACATGCAATAGCACATACACACAATACCTGCCTTCTATATCTCTTTTATTGTCCTCTCTTCTTTGGACCATCCTACTTCCACCAAACAGGACCACACAGAGAAACCCCGGGAGTCTCCCTAGTCTTGAACTACTCTTCCCTTTGTTGGCACGGGCATTCATTCTCTCCAGTACTGGGCAGTCTGTGCAGGGCATTTCTTTAGGCTCTGAAGCTGCACAGCCACATAGGGCACACGGGATCTCTGTGCTGGATAGCATCCATGAAGACTCAGGAGGTCATGACAAGAGGACGCTCCTCCCCCTCGATACCTGGAAGTCACCAGCGCTCATGCAGGATGCTAGGCGCTTGTGACCTCAAGAAAACAAGTTCCACCAAACCAGGGCAAAGGCAATGTCTTCCCTCAGGCTCTCCGGCAGTGGATGCTGGTTGTTATGGTGATGGGGGTGGCAGAATGGGGTCGCTGGCAACAGGCCAATGAGGCTTCACCTTAGGGAAGGTCTTGCCTGCATTTGTTCTTTGGAGGCAGGCTGGGAAGTGTGTAGCTGCCCCCTGGGACATTAGACTGTCAGTCTCGGGTGCTGAGCTTCCTGATGCCCTTCTGGTCAGTTGTTTTACCATGGAGGTGGGAGGTAAGGGAGACGAAGGTAGGACTCTCTCTCTCTCTGTTTCTCGCACTTTAACAGCGTATTTATTGTCAGTTTCAGAAGGGTAGACAATGTATTGCGATCCTATTATCTGCAGTACCCTCTGAGCCTGTCCCTACCCCTAAGGACCCGCTATTCTCGCCCCCCTCACTCGCCTCCTCCTACTTTGGTATCTTTGTGGTGTATGCGGGTCTTGTGCAGACAGTCAAAGCTGCCGTGTGTTCATGCCAGCAGCAGCCATGTCCTAGGCGGCGGACAGCTCTTCATTGGTGTTCCTCCCCACCTGTCTGCTTTTAAAACCCCCGAGTCTCTCTTCCACCATGTTCCCTGGGTATTGGAGGGAGTGTTGTAGCCATTACGGGATCCATTGACCCTGGTTACGTCACACCATTCCCTCTTCTCCCTCGGCCTCTTCTCAAAGAAGTCAGTAGTCTCCCTGGATGCCAGAAAATGTTCCTAGATGGGATGAGTGGGGGAATAAGGGAGAGCAAGTGACACCCCCAAAAAAGGACCAACCAGGCTACCTGGAGACTGCGGTGTGCTGAAAAAGTCACTTTGGAGGTCCCACCTTCTGAAAGGGACCTGAAGTGGTTTTCAGCGCCCTTGGCTTACGCAGGAAAGAGTCTGCAGAACCGAACTGTGAAGCCTCCGTGTCTCCACTGAGGTTTCAGGTCCATCTCCCAGTACTGACCCAGGAAGCGAGAGCAAGTTGAAGGAGACAAACCCACATGCATGGGACTGAGTTATCTTGTGAAGTAACATCACACCAGGCAGGTTGGAGACTGGGGGGGGGGGGGAGACACACACGACAACGACTAACCAGAGAGGGGATCCAGTGCCGACCAACAACTAACAGTGTCCTCGGGGGGACCCAGCCAGAACAAACATTCTCCAAGAGAAAGAATCCCCATCCTATCATGGCTCAAAATCTGAAAGCAAGACTGGTTTTTCCAATTTATTTCGGAACTATCCTCAGCGCTGATTAAGGCGGCCGCCAGCCTCGGTTGTTCTCCGAGCGCTCTCCTCACGTCGCGTTTCCAGTGGGGGTTTTTTCTGCATGCATAAATTATTGAAACATTATTTTATTTCTCCATCCCCCTGTGACAGAAATAGGTTTTCTGAAAGCAGATCTTTCCCTAATCAGTTTTGTTTTTCTTGATTTCGCGTCCAAATAGCTCCCGTGAATGCGGGGCTGACAGATGTGCAGTACTGGTTTGCTCCTTTAGAGTGAACCGAGTCACCGTGGGGACATACAGAGAGAGAGTCTACTACCAAGGGTCCCTGGAAATGTGGCATTGGTGCTGGGGAATGAAAGACTTCCAGCATGTGTCTCTGTGGTACGAGGCGGAGAGAGGCTGCGACCAAGTGAAGCCCTGTGCCTACACTCATATATAGATACCCCCACCACACATACACATCACATACACATACACAAAGATTAAAAAGAAATCACACGCATGCCCAGAGCTGCTTTTTGTGATTCTGGATGCTATCAAGTTGACAGTCAGAACAAACCAGGACACAGGCCTGGTTCTAAGTGAGAAAGAAGTACCACTGTATGCATGGACCTGTGGTAGAAGAGAAAGTAACGCTGAAGTTTCCAGGGAAGGTTGATGCTGGAGAACGGAACAGTGAAGCCGTGGGAACACCAGCTCAGCTGCAGATCTGCTGGGAACTAGAACTTCAGAGTCTTGCCGATTATCTTAAAGAATTGGGTCTTGGGTTCATTCATTCATTCGTTTGTTTACATTTGGGGCAGAGTCTCACTGTGCAGCCCTAGCTAGTCTAGAACTATATAGATCAGGCTGGCCTCAAACTCACAGGGATGCTCCTGCCTTTGCCTCCTGAGTCTTACTTTTGAATTCAGTGTTCAGACATAAAAAGACTTGCTTCTGGTCTCTCCTCCCTAACGGCTTTGTGGCTCTATGTCTTATACAGTGCAGGACAAAATGGTTTCACTGTCTTCCAAGGTCTCATTTCTTGAGCTGATCTTAGACTACAGACTGACGTCATTTCCATGATGACACATGACAGAGAGATATGACTGAGAAGCAGAGTTCATTGCCATCTACTAGCATGTGACACACCACTTCCAAACTCTACCAACAAATACAAAAATCAATTTGGTTCATCTTCTTCAAACCAAAGAATAAAGAAATCTCTTAATAGGAAGAAGATGGGCCTTTTGGTCGTCAGACCAAGAAACCACACATGAAATGGGCTTTGTGTCTCAAAACTCATTTCTGTGAGATTTTTTTTTTTAATTTGAAGCTCACAAAATAACAATTTTTAAAGGTACGCCCTTGAGTGACTCATGACATCTGAGCAGAGCTCGGCACCTGGGGTTTGCCACACCAGATGGAGTTCAAGCATTCCCAATTCAAAGCCAGGGATTGCATTGTTTTGATTTATTAGTATGTGTTTGCCACTGAATTTTATTTACCCCCATCTCACAATGTCATGGGCCACTCAGTTGCACTGCAGCGTCCTTCAGCGACTTCAAAATTTCAAGAGCCACCTGAGGCCACTTGCCACACATAAAAGGATCATCACTCACAAAGAGTCACTCAGTTAAGTGCATAAAAGGCCGTCGTCATTTTCTCAGAGCCCAGCGCCCTCATCTCTGGGCTCCTGCTACAGAAGAGGGGGAGTCAGAGAGAAACGGGAGTGACAGGACACCTGTGCACACGTGTGACGATGGGAGCCATGTGGCTTTTCCTCTGAGTTCACTGCACAACATTCAGGACTCTATCTGTAACCAGTTTCGAGCCATCCACACCCCTGGCCACTGTCATCTCCACAGCAATTGATCATCGCTGGGACACGACCCAGTAAGCCAAACCTTGTGAGTGAGGAAGGGTCCCATCCTCCAGGGCACTCTAGAGCTGCAATGCACACTGCCCCCAGCACCCACGGTCTTGGGCAGATCCTGGTGACAGTTCACATGGCTCTCACAGCCTTCCCTTGCCATGCACAGGCAACCTGCAGAGCACAGGCAGGTGCTCATCATTGGACTACCTGCCTATCTGGTCCTCAGCTTCTCCAACTGTAAAGTGCGGCTGCTGCCTGTACCTCATAGAGGCATTTGGGCAAATGGGATGGGGTGCAGAGTTGTTGAATGGCCCCAGGAGGGATGAGTAAAGACAGTCGAGGCCCAAGGCTTAGCACGTAGACACATCAACCTCAAAAGGTCTATTTTCAAAGAGCAGCAAGAGAAACCTCAGGCTCTTGGTTCTCATTTCTGCTTGACCAAGAAGCAATAGTCATTTCATCCGCTAAGAAGTCCTGGGCATGGGTAGGGAGGATCAGAAACAGCAAAAATCTCAGGGGTGCGGGGCTAAGACTCACAATCAAACTCCCTAGAATAGAAAGTGTCCCTGAATCCTCAGAGCCCTGTGAACTCTTCATCTCATATGGAAAGGGGGCATGGAGAGGAACAACGTGGGTCACCAGCATCAATGCATCTCCAGCCAGAGCAGGGTGTGCAAGAAGGGTGCGACAGAATCGGTGCTATTCACTTTAAAGGTGGAGGAAGTTCCCACAAACCAAGGTATGTGGGTAAACTTCAGAAGTTAGGAGAGCAAGGGAAGAGATTCCTTCCTAGGTCAAACGAACAAAATAGCCATTGCTTTAACAAAAGGACATGACTTCCATTGTGCCCTTCTACAGCACATCTGACTCAAAACTATGATTTTTGTTTGCTTTTTAAGACAGGTTCTCATGTACGCCAGGCTGATCTTGAACTCCCAATAGAAAGGGAGACGGCCCTTGAAGTCCTGATTCTCCTGACTTGAACCCTACCTCCCAAGCACAGGGTCAGGTGTGCTCCAGAATGCTCAGTTCAAAACTCAGGTTTCTTATGGAGAGAAAAAAAGAAAAAGGAAACTTTTCCTTTTGTGTTTCCAGCACAGGTCAAGGCGGACAGCATTATTGCATTCTCTGTCTAAAATTTCCCTAAAATTTAGTGCATCTGACTTCTAGGAAGAAAAATAATAAACAGTTACACGGAAAGTTCAGTCGGAACTCTTCAGGGATTTACAAGTGGTGTTCTCCTGACACAATGGCTGTGGTCACAGGGAACCCCAGAAGAAATAAGTAAACAAGTACAAAAACCAAAGCTCATGCGGTATGTTCTTTACAACAGACAGAACCACACAGAATACATGGAAACAGCCCACGAGCAGTCTTTCTTAAAAGCACCAGACCAAGAACCTTCCATGGTGACAAAGCCGGAAGGCAGCTTCTAACAATGGGGCGTGGGAGTGGGGAGGAGGCAGGGCCCTGTGTATTTGTTTATTTATTCATCCAGTCAGCCATTCACTCCTTCAGAAAAGCCCCCTGTTTCCATTGTGCTGTGGGAGGTACATTCTGCGACAGGGATTTCCCAAGACTTTTCTTTCCCTGAACATTCTAGAATGAGCTTCCTCGGGCTCCACGTGAAAGGGGCATTTGATGAGAACAAGCAGAAAGAGAAAATAAAGTGAAGTCTGAATGGCTATTTTATTCTGTGTCACTGGGAGAGGGCCTAAGGAAAGGCGAGGCGAGGAGAGAGAGGGAGGGAGGGTGTCACGGAGGCCCATGGCAGAGACTGCTGATAAATATTCAAAACCAACTTCAAAACTGTCTCTCCTCTCCTCCTCAGTTGGAAGATATCTGCATTTTAGCAAGTGGCAATCTGTCAATTAAAAAAAAAAAAGTTCCAATTTTCCATTGGTTGGTTGGAGCAGTACACAACATACCAGTGTGTATAACATAACAGTGACAAGTGTTGAATGGGTTTTCTGGAAAGTTCGCTAAAGGAAATGGGCTTAGCTGAAGAGGTGTAGAGTGCTCTTTAAGCCTTGTGTCTAAAGGTGGATCTCAAAGCAGGAGATATAGCAGCCACCTTGGCACCATGAGGCGGAATTACACAGTTATCCCAGCATCCTTTAGCGATTGAATTCATGCTAGTAACTCCCTCTTTCTAAAACGTCTTATAATAATAATAATAATAAACCCTAAAACCTTTCTTGTTTAAACCACAGTGGTCTAGCCTCTGCTGCCTGGAACTCCTAATTGGCTCAAGATTCTTAGGTTTTTTGGTTTGCTTCTCAGTGGAGAGTGGTGGGTCTCCTAACACACCTAATCCAGGAGAATCACAAAGCTGAAATTGCCAAGTCAGACGGTCTTTGGAGTCTCAGCATGGGACTTGCTTCGCTTCAGCCATGAGTTTAAAGACCTTGACAGGAGGGTGGCCTCCCACATGTGTAGCGTATAGCACAAAGGGGCTCTGAGATCTCTAGACTATCACAAAACAACACACAGCAGAGCCAGCCCATCCTATGGACATCCTGCAGTATCAGCACTGAGGAGGCCAGGCAGGCAGATCACAGGTTCAAGGACACCCTGACACCTGCCTCGAACAAACATTAGCATCATGACCCAGACTAGGCTTATTGTGTACTTCCTCCCAACGTTCTCTTAGGTCTACCCTAAAGTTACCTTTTGTCTAAATTGAGTTTTCATCATTTCTTCTCACTTTGTACCCTCTGAGCACATACAATATCTTAAGTATCTTTTTTAAAGCTCTGGCTATAATTTCATAGGTTCAAATCCTGGCTCTGACCCTTAGGAGCTGAGTGACCTTAAGAAGTTACTTAACCTCTCTGTGCTCTGTTTCCTTGTAAAATGAGAGTGACAGCATCCTGCTGAGCCTGCAACGCCATGGGGAAGATTAGACAGACTTACATCTCTAAGCTGCCATCCATAAAGGCCAAGAGAACTGCGGCTGTACTGTGTGGTGGCCCACAGGACACCATCACCCCCAGTCGCGAGTGACTGGCAGTAACAGCTGATCTGTGGTAACAGCAAGAGGCTGTGAATACTCCCTCTAGAAGGCGCGGACCAGAGCTCCAGGCCCCAGTTCCTCTACCCCACCTGTATATGGTCTTGGGAACGAACATAGGGTACACGAGAGGCCCAAGGCTGACTGGTTTCCAGTGGTGCAGCATTGTGGGTCGTTGCCCACACTGGCCTGGACATTTCAGAAATCCAGCTGCGTGAGTCATCTACGCTCCCGTAAGAGACCCTAACACACTCGTTGGTTCACCGGGCTGGTCTTGGAAGGATTCTTCTCTTTGGTGTGCCATCAGTGTCCCCTGTGGATTGAGCATCAGGGAAAGTAACAAGGCACACACATTTGCTGTCGCTTCTGTTCGCCAGAATGCACACAGCCGTCAGCGTCTTCTGCATGAATCTTAGTTGTGTATCAGTAATGCACGGCACAGCTCCAAGGGAATAAGAGATACCTTATTCTGGAGCCAGATATAAGTGACCTTGGCCCAGAAAGAGATTCAGGCCATCCTAAATACCATGGATCAACTGGAAATGGTTTCATGAAGTTTTTATGGTAGCAGAACAAAGTCATACATGAAGGCACCTTTCAGACACCTTGCTCACAAGCTCGGTCAGAAGTCCCATCAAAACTGGGAAGTCCTTGCCTTGGACGGCCTCTGATGGCATTCTTGGCTCTTGTGTGAGTGGAAGCGAAGGTCTTTTAAGGTGATACGTTCCAAAGGTTTGACCGGACAGTTGCACGGATGTGGAGACAGACGTAGGGAAATGTCTGAGAAGGAAATCAAAGCGGTTATCTGACTCCTGATCCGCAGCACTGTTTCTGTGATCGCAGCTTTTGGGACTGATAGTTCGCAGGCTGCCAACAAGTTGGCAGTTTACCCCAACCACCCCCCAACCCAACTCTGATTTTGCTTCCAAAGGTTTTGTTTACCAATGGCCAACTGGAGTTTAAAAGTATTAAATGGAAACTTCAGACACAATAAGTTGTAATAACTTTGGTTAGCACACTCTGCAATTGTTTGCTTCTATTATTGGGTGCTGTTACTCTTACTACGCCTGATTTACAAATTAATCTGGACCACAGTTATGTGTACACGCAAACATGTGCATGGAGTCTGGTAATGTCTTGGGCATCCATGAGGATCCGTATGTAAGGGGTGAAAATGCCACAGCATCCTCTAACACAGAGCTTCCTGTGTTTACATGAACTAGGAAGCATGTGTTTACACCTGACATCACTTCAGATAATACAGAGCTTCCCTTAATTGCTCCTATCCACTCAGGTGCGCACCCTGCCCCTGACCTCAGTGGGTGGCACCATGTCCACTTAGGCACCTGAGCCACAAATCTGTGACACCCCTGTGCATCTGATTCTCCCTTTGGAATCCCTCTCTCAGAACACCCTTCACTCCAGGTGAACTGCAAGCCCTGGTCTGGGCCCAGACTGACCCCTTCCCATTCTAACCCAGTCTCCACCATGAACTACAAAATCCCTTCTGTGGAAAACAGGCTATGGGATGGGGCTCCTGCAGGCAGCCTTGCTGGTCTCCCAGCTGCCCAATGGGACTGAGGGATTTCAGGCTCCCCCCACCCTCACCACCCTGTATTTGCTCGGGCTTCGCTCTTTCCGCCTCCCTGGCCCGTCTCCATCCCTGCCTGTGCCATGTCACCCTTCCCCAGTGCAGCCTGCTCATCTTGGCCATCTGGCTTGCACCACCCAGCTGTGCCCGGAAGGAACTGGGCAGAACACTTACAGCCCCTCACTGCTGCTCCAGTGTGGTCACATGGTCCTGACTGCTCCTGTGCCCCCCCCCCCAGGATGCACGTCTGAAGATGGGATTCGTGGAACCAACAGGCAGAAGCCCAGGCTGTTGGGGAACTGGGACACAGTCAGGGTCCCCTGCAGCCCGGGGTGACACTCTTTCCTTGTTTCTGTTCCCGAAGTCCCATAGATCTTCTGAGCCCTTTACCTGACAGACTTTCTCCCTCAGAGAGCGATCAAGAAGACACGGAAAGGTGAAGGAATTCTGTTCCAGATGGGAGAAGTGCATGCTCTTGGTGAGCATTACCGCAGCTCCTAACTACAGCCTTGGGGAAAAGGAAGTTAAGTCATATCCCACCAGCCTGCACACTTGAAAACACCTTGACCCCCAGCCTTGGCTTCCTCTTTAGTACACAGGAGCACTTTGGAGTGGAGCCTAGCCTTGTCCAAACAGGAACATTGCACAGTCCGGCTAGAGGGAGACACAGTTGCCAAAAGGTCACAGTCACTTGTTCAGTGACCTCAGCTCACTGGTGCTACTCACAGACTATTATAACAACCTGAAGAGTGGCAGCCACCAGTGGTCACATTCACAGCCCGTTGTTCTGGGCTTGTCAGTAAGGAGGTCCCAGATTTAAGAGTTTCCCTTCATGTGAGGGCATTTCCCTCCAGAGGGACCAAGGAGCGGTCTTGTGTGACTTACAAACACATTAAAACTGGTTCACACATCTCTCTTACCATTGGTCATGTCCAACAGGAAGTCTCTGGTGTTTGCTAGTGGGACGTCATCTCCCTCACCTTCCCCGGTCTCTTCATGAGCAGGAGTACGCATCATATTTCTGTGGGGAACTTTAGACCTTCTAAACTTTAGAGCTTTAGGGGCCAAAGTGATGCCTGAGCAGTGAAGAACCCACACAGCAACCTGGAGCTCCAGTTCCAGGGATCTGATGCCCTCTTCTGGCCTCTCTGGGCACTGCATGCATGTGCTGCTCTTACAAACATACAGGCAAACACTCATACACAGAAAATAAAATCAGAAGATCTTTAGACTTGTGGCATGGAATCTCAACTTGACATTTGTAATCGTGATATAATGATTTCCTCTAAAAATAAGTCATATCTCGGTCTTAAACTGAGGGAAAATATTGAATAAAACATAGGCCAGTGCTCAACCCTGGTGAAAACTAGCTGTGATGTGATAAACATTAAAGTCCACAAAAACAGTGAAGCTAAACAAAGAGAAGGTAGTAGCAGGAAGGAAGGTTAACATTTTCATGGTGTACCTACTATGGGCTTAGGCATCAGGTTAGACCTGTTCACACTGTGTTTGGTCAAGTGGTCCACAACACACCAAATCCATATTTGCTGTCTCTGCTAGCGGAGGGCAGTGACAGCCCACCATGGTTTTTCCTTACATTTCTTGACGACTTGTGATGGGCACAGTTTTTCACAGAGCTGACAGCATCCTCACACCCTTCCTAGAGAATTCTCTATTTCAGCCATTCGCCCATTTTACAGTCTAGATTTCCTTTGTTTTCTTTTCCCCCTATCAATCCTTTGTTTTGATATTGCTGAGTTCTACCAAGTACCCGGCTCACAGATACTTCTCTGTCTGTGGCAGCCCCTTCCACCCTATTGGCCTTCACCGTGCAGTCTGTTTACTGCAGCTCCATTCACTTGCTTTTACTTTTCAGCTGAATTTTTAGTTCAATATTTAAATTTTAAAAACCACAGTCCACACTCAATGCCAATCTCACTCCCACATTTCTTTCTGGAAGGTGTATGCTTTGGGTCTTATCCGGAGACCTTCTATTCAGCTTTGACTTGATCTCTGTGTGCAAAATGAAATGCTGTGACCCAGTTTGAACTAAGCTTGGAAGACTTTGCACACGCAACTGTTAGGACCAATACATAAAATCCGGAAGCTGCGGGACACAAATGAACATAACTTAAATCAGTTGTGCTGTGTAGACAAATAGCGACTACTTAAAAACGCTATAAAACAATCCCATTTATGATGAGAGTATTAAAATATGAAGTGTAGGCCAGAGAAAGGGCTCCGTAAGTAAAGCTACTTGCTGCCAAGCCTGACCACCCGAGTACAATGCCCTGGACTCACAGGAGAAAGAAAGAAGCCAGCTTCTGCAAGCTGTCTGTTGGCCTCTGACCTCCACAGGCACACCGTGGCGGGCGAGCGCACACACATGGCAAACACGCACATCAGCATCCGCAGCAGCAGCATCATTATAAATAGACTTTGAAACAACTAAAAATACTAATTTGATTACAAACTATATTTAATTACGATATATTAAAATCTACATTAAAATACAATTTTTATATTAAATTTTTAATTTTAAAAATCAAAAAATAAAAGTTAAATTTAGCCAGAGAGATGAAAGATATGGACATCTAACAAGCAGCTGAAGGCGACAATAAACGGAGAGCTGCCCTGTCTGTGCTTGGGATTGGAAGGGTTAGCATTGTTCAAATGTCCACACTGCCCAAGGCAAATTCCAAGTTGCAAAGAGCCCTTCTCAGAAATAGAAAAGATATTCTGAGATTCTGGGACCACAAAGGCCCCACTAACCAAAGCGCTTCTGAGAAAGCAAGCGAACCGGAGCTGGAGGCACCCTCCCTTAACGAAGACCACAAAGCTAAGGCCATAGCCCAGTGGCAAAGGTCACGTTTGGCATGTGTGTAGCTCTGGATTCCACCTTGAGTCCTATAAAAACCTTATGGTACAATCATAAAAACAGATACATTTGCCCAATGGAATAGACCACAAGACAAACCCAGGCACATGCCATCAACTATCTTGACAAGGGACCCAAAAAGCACAAAGAGAAAGGAGAAAGGACAACCTCTTTTTTTAAAAAAAAGTAGGGAACAGTTTCTCTCCTCCCAACTTGCGACTGCCTGGGCCCTAAAGAAGCAGAGAGTCTGCCCCAAATCCACCCTCACAGAGACAACTTCCGCCAGAGTCAGAACACGGCTAGCTGCCCAATGCTTTCATATTGCTTTTATTTTTATTTGTATTTTTTTTTGCCCCATTATAAGACACTCTCTGGAAAGGCAGGAAGGCACATAGCCTGCTGCCTGTCTCCACACAGCTCAGTAGGCCTGGCTTGGAGAAGGAGCCTCCTCTCTACCCTCTGGGGCCAGATTCCACCCTGACCTGGGTCGCCAGTCAAGCACCTGCATCCTTCTTTTAGGCTTATGGTTACCGTGTCTGGAGAGAGGCTGCATGGGTCTGTTTCAGACAGACAGGCCCTTCACTAAGCCTATGACGTGTTTTGAAATTAGAAGCAGGGAAAGGTTGGTTAATTAATTGACCAGAAGTAGAAATAGATTCGAACCATCTTCTCTTGGACAGGTGAGCCTGCACCCTCTACTCCTGTCGCCTCCAACACCACACACATCACTGTCACCCAAACTTCCAGAGACTTGACCAGCAAACTGAACCCTATAGATGGCAGGGAAGACTGAGGAAAGCCAGCCTCAGGCCTGAATCTCTGGTCACCTTTGCTGCGTGGAGTCGCACATCAACCTGCAAATGCAAATGGAGGCATTTTTTTCCAAAGAGAAAACACACACACACACACATACACACACACAACTTGTTTATAAACAACAAAGAAAAGAACATAAAATACCTGGAAAATATATATTTACGTCCACCCCCCGCACCAAATCCAACCATCCTGGTGATTCTTTTTAATTGGGTTGGAAGGGGTTACTTCATTATGCAGCAAATTAGAAAATTCATAATTTATCATTGCACCCAGTCGAAATGCCACCCAACTGCGTCGCACCCCTGTGAAAACCATCACATGGTAGCAAACTGTCAAGCCTGCTGCAGCCGACGGGCAAAATTAATATGCAAATGTATGCAAGAAATTAAAAAGCAGAATTACCCAGGCAAATGAGGTAGCTATACTTGAATTGTTAGAATTATGAATAATTACTGCGAATTTTCTGCTCCTAATATAACTTGTTTTTTGATAAACAAAGACTTAATTATCGAGATGCGCTGGAGAATTTCCGTGGCGCTCATTAATCTTGCAAAAAAAACAAGTCCCTGGTGCCCAAGCCGTAATGAAGAGCACGTGCCCTGAATCTTCAGAAAGATCACAGGCACCAGGGTGCCAGGGCTGGAGAAAAAAATGACAGTGCCAATGTCCCCTCCTGTACCCTGGGGTGTCATAACGTCTTCCACTAACTATCAAAGGGACTTATTTATGCCAGCAGCTGAGCTATAAGCCCAATTTACGAGGCCTTGAGCAGTGGTGGGGTGATGTGTGGATATGCAGTGGAAAATGCCATCTTGCAATGGCGCATTGGTCCCGACGATACCAACACTACGAGGGCCCTGCACTCCCGCGCTAATGGATGCCGCGTGACAGACCATAATCTGCGAGAGGGACCATCTTTTAGGACCAGTCTCTACGGTTCTCTGTTAATCTTGATTGTGTGGTTCACTGGTGTCCATGGGAACAACGACATTAGCACAAACATCGCCTTTAAATTATCCCGGTAAGAGTGGCAACTCAGAGGAGCAGGACGAGCCCCCAAACAAGCGGGGGCAGAAGCAGAAGCCGGGCCAGCCTTCACTGTCTCTGATGACGCGGCCAGCCCGATGGGTTGACCAGGGAACTGGATCAGTAGACAGAGAGGAGTCAGGCAGTGTCCGGGGCAGCCAGAGGGGCTGTTTGTACAACCCCAGGAGTTGCAGCCTGGCGGGAGCTGGACTCATTTACCAGCTCCATCGAGGGGCAGGCCCGCCAGGTCCTGCTGAGCCTGAGTTATTACTTAAAACCTGGCATCTGAGCGGGAATGACAGAGTGCCCGTCGTCATTAGGCCGATTAGCGCCATGATAAACCCGTACAGATCATAAGGCAAAATTACAAGCCATCACTTCTGGAGCCTGAGCAAACGAAGGCGCTCCTGGCTGCCGCGTTTCCAGGCTCCTGCCTTCTGAATCCAAGTCCCCGAGTACCCTGACACCTTGACAGAACCATTGCACTGTGTAGGGCAAACTGTCACCTTTTACACCAGGGCGCTTGTCATTTTAATACTCAGAGCTGCCTCTCCTCCCTGTTTCCTTGGCCCCTCCTCTCTCTCTGCTCTCTCTTTCCTCCCCTCCTCCCTGAGCACACACCCCTGAAGAGCCCAGCACCCTATCCAGGACCAGGTTCCCCCATCTCTCGTCATAGTTACACAAAAGAAAGACCAGTCTGAAGAGGATGGACCTCGCTCATCCCCAGACTTTATCTTTCGTGCCCAACTCTGAGCTTGGCTGTCTCTCGCCTCCCCTCACATCAATTCTCACCATGGCCCGTGACAGGACTGCAGGGATAGGAAGACGAGGAAGAAAGGACACAGCCCAGAAGCCTCTGCTTCTCCCTCTCAGACAGTCCCAGCACCGTCTGTTGCTCAGGTGCAATGAAAAGACCCGCAGAGAGAAGCACACGTGCCCCATGTTCATCCTTCCTTCATGGGACATTTTCCCAACAAACTGAAAACTGAGTGGCTAAGTGCCTGGCACCGGAGGGACAC